TACGTCTCAGTAAGATGTGGGCGAGTACCTTGCCTGGTACACTGAGCAGTGTAATGCCTCGGTGATTGCTGCAGTCCCTCCGATCCCCTTTCCCCTTCCAGAGCGGGATGACCACACCCCTCAGCAGGTCAGGGGGAATGGTACCGGTCTGCCAGATGGCAGACAGGACTGCATGCAAGCCCCTTGCCATAGGTTCTCCACCAGCCTTTAACAATTCAGCTGGGATGCCACAAACACCTGCTGCTTTTCCACTCTTCAGCTTGGAGATTGCCCCCTTGACTTCAGTCAGGGAGGGTGGATCCTCGCTGATGGGTGGGTCTGGCAGAGGAGTCTCAACATTACCAGCATCCAAGTTAACTGTTGGTGGATCAACCTGATACAGCTGCTCAAAATACTCAGCCCAACACACACGCACCCCATCAGGATCTGAGATTACCTGGCCACTTGCTGAGCCAGGTAATAGATAGATAGACACACACATTTACTAGGAAATTTACTAGGAAATGGCTTTCGACCTCCTCTGCAAGATTACTGATAAACTGTTCCTTATCCCTTCTCAACAGTGACCTAGTCCTGCGCGCCAGAGAACAGTGCAAATTGCGATGTGGTCGATCTCCTTGGCCACCCTACACGTATCGCTGTACCAAGTCCAGCGATGCGGGTCAGAACGCTGATACCAGGAGCCAGAGATCCTCAATTTCTGGAAACTAGCAAAGTCACGGAAAAGGAGGCTATTCTCGCTGCCAGTATCAGCTCCTGAGCCATGGGGACCGACAGACATCTCGTAGCCAGTTCGATCACATCCGGATACCGCATTGAATATATATATGTGTGTGTGTGTGTGTGTGTGTGTGTGTGTGTGTGTGTGTGTGTGTGTGTGTGTGTGTGTGTGTGTAGGCCTCGTCCTGTTTCCTCCTATGTATACTGTATCAACGCCACCGCAAGGTATGCTGTGCACCTGGTTAAGAAGTCTGCTGTGGTGTGACCTCTTTTCCCTTACGATGTCTCCGATCTTCTTATCGGAAGTGGTATGTGTGTCTATATACATACACACACATATATATAGTATATATATACCCATATATTTAGTATATATATATATACACATACATATATTACATATATACACATATATATATAGTATATATATACACACATATATATACATTTATAAAATATATGGATAGATAGATATATAGACAGATACAGACACACACAAACACAAATACACACACATACGTATATATATATATATATATTATATATATATATTATATACATATATATATATATATATATATACATACATATATATATAAATATATATATATATATATATATATATATATATATATATATATATATATATATATATATATATGTATATATATGTATATATATGTATATATATGTATATATAAATATATATACATATGTATATGTATGTGTGTGTGTGTCTATCTATCTGTATATATAGATAAATATATATATGTATATGTATGTGTGTGTGTGTCTATCTATCTATCTCTATATATATACATATATGTACCTACCTACAAATATACATACATGCACACACACGCACACATATATGCATATATATATTATATGTATATGTATATGCATATGTATATATATATATATATATATATATATATATATATATATATATATATATATATATATATATATATATATATAT